AGTCTGTAGATTATCAGGATGAAATCCGAGAGGCCCTAAGTTTAAGAACCTATCAGGGTCACTACCCTTTTTAACTTCCGAGGTTGATAAATTAATTCCACTTTGTGGGAAGGAAACATGGGACTGCACACTATGTTAGCCACGTAGCTGTTGTCGATTTTGCCTTTAGACGTACATTCCTGACTGATGGCATGGAAATGGAGATCAGCGCCCTCTTACCCGTGTTAATTTCCTGACAAGATGTCGCCGGAACGGTTCCATCATGAAAATGTAAGGAAAGTCGACAATCTAACGGTCACAGGCTTTCCTTTTTGCGTTGCCGCACAATCCAATTTAACAGCAGCAAAACGACGTGAGGCATCATAGTTCAAAGGAATGCTGCAGACCCACAAGGTAGAGCAACAATGAGGCATCATTCATAGTGGAGCAGTGCCTTCTTCACTTTTGACCGCCAAACCGAGCCACCAATCACGTGAAACCTTCAGTCATTTAACTATTGTGGTTATTAACCCATAGAAGCAGGGAACTTATGTGGTATTGGCGGCTGCCGCGCTGATGGTTGCATCGGTAGCCAGTGCTCCACGGGACTAGTCAAGACGAAACAACGATTTATTGCTCAGCATAACACTGACTTTCTAGCGCTGCGTGGTCCTTTGAAAAGGAGGACTTGCGGTTCTCGAATGGTGGATCAACGCTAATCACCAGTCATTTCTCTGCGATCATCCCGGGAATCAGCCTGGATTGTATAAAATTTGCTCCAGCCAATCGATGCTCGCTGTGGATAAATCGAATTGCACTGTAGTAAACCCAATATGGCGCGAACGGAATCATCCGAAAGCTCCATGCCTTGCGATCACATGCGGAATTCAGAAAAACTTTAAGGACAACAGAGATGCAGAAAAATGGCCGATATATTTAGAAGGGAGCAGTAGGCAACTGACTTCTCAATATTTCGCGTATGACACATCTTTCAACATGCAGGAAATCCTTCTCCGATGTCTTTTTGTGAAAGCTAAGGCAAATAGTTGATGGGAGACTGTGCCCGACGAGGCAAGGTCAAGAATATGGAAGAGAACTTCAGCTGAAGGTTGTTTTAAAGTTCACTGATGGCTGTTGACGGTTCTATTTGTTTCAAAGCTACTTTCTTCAACCTTGAGCTGAATTTGATTCAACAAACAGTTCTACGATGTGGAAAAACTTACAATAATATGGGATGCTTGAACACACCCTTTTCATATTGAAAGAGGTATATGAAAGTACTATGATTTCATTAGAACGAGCACAGGATGCATGAGCGGCTCAGGTTAACTGCGACAT